TCCGGCGACTTACGGCGTCGCAGTCTTCAGCTGCCGCTGTCCGGCGACGTCCGACGATGGTTTTTTTTTTTTTTTTTTTTCAAAAACCGCCATTGAAGCTCGACGTTCGAGCTTGAAGGTCCATTTTTTTGTTTTTTGTGTCACTGCATCTGAACGAAGGATGTTTATGTCGAGCTTGACGATGGAGGATGACGCCGGAGACGACGACTTGAACAGTTGAACGGCTGCGACGGAATCCGACCGTGATGGCGCTCCGACGGTGGCGGTTGCTCGGCGTTGTCTAGAATGGGGACAGTGAAGATGGAGGCTGAGATGACGTGTGGCTGGAAGCTTTTCTGGTTTTCGTCGTCGGATTTCTGGTCGACGGATGGCGTTCTCGGGTATCGGCTGGCGGCAAACGGCGCCGGACTGCGGCGGTGCTCTGTGAAGTGGCCGGTGGCTGTCGGGACTTGACACATTCAAGTGTGTGTATATGTGTGCCGATTTGTGTGTGACCGTTGATGTGTGTGTGTGTCTGCGTGAGAGAGAGAGTGAGAGAGAGGAAGAGTCACCTGGGTAATGGCGAGATTTTACTTGGGAAGTGGGGCCCATTAATATAGTGGATGGTGGTGGTGTGTGAATAAATGTCTCTAATACCCTTAATGAATGTAGAAATACTGATTTTTTTTACCGTTGAAACATCCGATCCAATGAGTATGATTTATTCTTATTTCTCTCATTAAGTACTATTCTCACCGGAGCGCGACCCTATATAAATATAAATATATATATATATACATATCCTTTATTCAAAGTATTAATTCTTTGTTTAACGTTAATTTATCAGTGACCTTTTAATTGTTTGATATCATCACGTATTTGAATTTTTATTTGTTCATGTCCCTTTTTTTTTTTGGCACAAATTTTTTATCTATGTTTTAGAGTGACCTTATAATATTTCTCTTTTCATCATAAGCAGCAGTCACCTGAAAGATAAGTTTCCTCTTAACAACGATGATGGAATTTCCGAACTCAAAGAGTTGTTCTGTACGTACCTGTAAGAATAAATACGAAGCAAATGCAGATTGCAGAGGCTCAAAAAATACGAGACATCAATGAAAAAGATTATTCAGATTGCTACTTACACTTCCAGCAAGTACGGCAAATTACCCAAGTACGAAGGCAATGGGCCGGTTAATTGGTTATTCTCTAGATGCCTGCACATCTCAAGCAACATGAAGCTAAAAAAAAAATGGGACATATAATAGCTTGTTCTAGAAAATAAAACCACTTGCGAATGTAGAGCTTACAATATTTTCAAATTAACAAGGCCACTTATGTCAGGGATTGGCCCGTACAGCAAGTTCCCATCTAGCCACCTAGAGAAGTTCAACAAAACTGATAAAATTAGCCACAAGGAGAACTCAAAATGAAAAATTTATAGCCACTCTTACTGTCTTACAATTCTGTCAATGCGTCCATGTACTGAAGCTCTTGTGGGATTTCGCCGTTCAAGTTCTTTCCTGACAGATGACTGTTTTCAAAGGAGTCGGCCATTGATTACACGTGTTTGAAAGAGAAGATAGAATTGGAAATGAAACTCTGTGCTTCTATAAAATATGAAATAGTAATCGCAATTTGTGTAATTTACAGTCACATTTATGCTTATTCATACAGCTGTCAACTATGTTTTCACGGATACATGAACCAATTACAATAACCATGGTTTATATAGCAGCAAGCACCTATTATGTCTATGCATATTAAGATAAGTCTTTATAGGAACAGAAACTTGCATTTTGGTAATCCTTGGTGGTGTAGTAGAGCTGCAAACCACCCAATTCCAGGTGGTAGGAGAACACGGGTCACCACCTTCCTCCGTCCATTCACTTTGCGAAGAACGCATAGAACGCAGAGCATTAAGGGCCATCACTTGAAAGAACAAAATCAATCAAAATAAACAAAGAATTCCACGTAAAAGAAGAAGAAGAAGAAGAAGAAGAAGAAGAAGAAGATTAATCCTACCATCTTTGTCATGGGTCTTGGCGGCAATCTCCACGTACCTGCTAATCTCCATGGCGTTGAGTTTCGGGCCCCGTGTGGAGTCTGGCGTCTTGACAAACGCAAAAGACAGTACAAAATCGAGGGTGACATTCATGTAACTGGGTTCGTACAGCGTGTAGCTCCCGTTCGCATTCTCTGCCACATTCACAACTGCACTACTGGAGGCTCTGTTTCAGCCCCGCCCGGGGTTTCGCAGAAGACATGGTCGGAGCTGGGTCGCCGCGCCGTCTATCTCCTCGACTCCAGTCAGGGTCGCTGGTCCACCACGTCCTGTCTGCAGCCCTTAGTGGCCGCCGTTCTGTCGGAGTCCATATATAGCTCTCGCGCTTTCAAGCCCAGTGCCTGCTTGCAGCGAGGCCTAAAGTATCTTTTCGAGCCCTCCGGCGTTTCGATAAGGCTACACTCCTCCCTAGTGGTGAAAGTCTTCGGAGCTCAAATCTGGTTCGAGATTTAACTCCTCGCCAGATTTTTCTAGGCGGTCTAATTTTAGCCCCAGTATTTGTATAAATAAATAAACTACAAACATACACTTTACTAAAAACATGAATCTCATTCGAAATGGAATTGGGAGTAACACAAACCCTAGCTCCTACAGTACACTCCAAGAATCTCCCACTTATAATTTAAACTTCCGGCTTTTCTATGTATGCATTTTTTCAATCTTTATGCTCAAATAACTGTTGTCCTACCTACCATACATCCGACTCACATTCATTAACATGGCTATTATCTTCTTTCTCTTGAAAGTACTTCTAACAAGATTTACTAGGTTGACTACTGATATAACTAGGCGACAAAAACTCTACCCCTTTGAGATCACTCGCACCGAGTCGTACTTGCTCTATGTGGTTGCTTGCCTAATGGACTTGTGATTCCTTCGTGTTTGCAACTACACCAACCGTCATCACAATCAAATTGTGACTTAACTTAGGTAAACCAGTATTTCACATTTCTAGTCCAATAGAGGTTACCAAACCCAAACCTCTTCCATCATTTTCTTTTCAGCCCGCGACGAAATGAGTTTTCATGGTACAAGTCGTCAATAAATTACCGTTTGACATTCCTCCACACTGTTGTCTCTACCTCACAAGTAAACATAATCTCGAGGTAGATTTTACTTATTGTTCACGTTTGATTAGAAATTAAAATCTTTGTAACCCATGGACTGCATTTGGTTCATTTGTAACCCAACATATTATCATTAGTCCAGTTACGGTATACTTGACAATACGTTTTACCACTAACCAATGCGTCTGTCTAGTATTGCTTCGATATCTACAAACTATTCCCACGACAATAATAGATATCAGGCCTCATTTACTACATCACATACACTAGGTTTTTTATTGTCGAGCATAAGGAATCGTCTCTATGTCCTTTATCTCTTTAGACTTCTCTTACCCAGTGTTCTAAAAGTCGCTAGGAGCTCGACCAGCACCAAGTGCCTAGAGTGCCTAGGCGAGGCCTAGAAATGAAGATTAAATGCCTTATTTTTTTATTTAATCTCAACTTATAATAAACCAACACAACTAAGTCCAAATAATATTATTAATGTATTATAATGAAAATATGATAACAAAATAATTTAACTAATATTTTAAGAAAATTAAAAAAATTTAAAAATTTCTACTGAGCCCGCCTAGGAGTGCTTAGGTCCGTCTAGACCCGTCTAGGCGCTGTCAAGCCGCTTGGTCGCCGAGCTCGCCATGACCAATTTTTTCAACCGATTTATGCAAATCGGAGGCGGTCGGGCATCGCCTAGGCCAATTTTTAGAACAGAGCTCTTACCAGATATCTCTTGTAGGCAAAGGAACTCCATCAAGGGAAGGTTAACAAATCTTTCTTGGAGTTATGCATGCTAAGAATGAGCCTTATGGCAGTCATTAGACACGAAGCTCGGGATAATCACAATATTTCTATCCTTAACCTCAAGAACATGTGTTGATTCTCCCGAGTTCTTCACATCTAACTACTTGAATAACCATACCCTCGCGTCTGACAGCATCTTCACACTGCTACTGTGATCAGAATGCCATCTACGTACAACGCAAAAAGTACCACCACGCTTATGTTGCGATGGTAAATGACCAAATCCATAAGATGAATTACTTCATATACCAAAAGTTAACAAAACTTACTACACTCCACAAATAGACCATTTCAGTTTACAGACTAGATACTCTCGGCCTTTTACAATGAACTCTTTTGGGTGCTGCTCCATGGATATTCATGTTGGGACTGGAGCGCGGGCCCTCACGAGTTGAGAAATGTGCAAAGCGCGGGCCACGTAGGCTGAACACGGCCCGCGCGCTGGAGCAGGTGCCATGGGCCTCCTCGATGGGCCTTCTCAGTGTGCCATGCACTAGGCATCCACACCACTGGATTGCGCAGCCGCTGAATACGACTGGCCGGAGTGCGCCTTGGCGAGAAGATTTCGGTGGTGTTCTCGGTTTTATGTGGATCACCGGGAATCGCCGAAAAATTGGAGAAGAAGACCGGAGTTGACCAAATGTTCTAGATCCATAAACTTTGACCGACAAAATTGACAGTCTTTTCGGTAGAATTTTCGCTTGAAATTTTAGGAGGATGACGAGGGCGAGAAGAACTTCGCGATGATATAAAAAATTTTCTGATCGGACCACTGTTCGCTAATTATTTCCTGGTCGAATTTCCGGCATCCCACGTGTTCAGAAGACGTCCAGGTTGCCGGACATGGTGTCTCCGGTCATTTTCCGGTCACTTTACGGCAGCTCCCGTCATCATGCGCGAAGGTGACGTGTACAGCAAATTCCGGCCGCTCGTCTTCTCCATCGTGTTCTGTGCTGAACTCCTACGTCTCAGGAAGGTTATCGGCGGTCATACGTGCGAGCTCTGGTCAGCTTCCATGGCAGCCTGCGTGGATGAAGTCGAACAGCAGAAACTCTTCTCGATTTACTCTCCTCAACGGTGATCAGCTCTTTGGCCGGAGATCCGACGATCCTGAGATGGTCGAGGTGGCATCGTCGTCGTGAGGTAGTGGACTTGCAACAGCTCCTAGTTCAGGCATGGCGGACGTGGTGACGTTACGTATGTGAGGAAGGAGATGAAGATGATCACTTTGGTCATGGAAATGACCAACCTGCCCCTTATTTTGGGCTAGACTTTAATGGATTACAAGATATCCTATGGGCTTTGTTAGGCTCTTTTCTTTTCGGTCCAGCAGAGAAATAAAATGGACTATCATATCATTCTTGTGGGCTGTGTAAATGGGCTCGTCTCATTCATGGTTTGGACTCCCTTTATGTCCGTTTCACGCCGTTTTCGACTCAAAAAATATATCGACCCCATTTTCTGTCAAAACTCAAATAATACACCTTCGTCATAGCTTAATATAATTAATTAAATACATAATTAATTAAATACTAATTAATTAAATAATAATCAATTATATATCAAACTACGATGAAACGAACACGAAAATCACTATAAAATGCACGTAAATATGACGCATGTCAACGACTTTGGTCGGCGACCGATGAAGGTGATGTGCTGTAGACTCGCCTCGGCTTGTTAGCCCTCACGGATCGCTGAGAAAATAGATTTGATGGTCGGATGTTGATCGGAATTTCTTAGATCCAGAAAGTTTGATCGGAAAAATTGAAGGCCTTCTCGGTGGAATTTTAAGGGGAGAATCACCTCGAGGAGATCAAAAATTTTTCAATCGAAGCATTTTGACGACGACTGCGGCAAGTGGAGATGAATGAGGTAGTTGGAAATTTTTTGAAATTTTTTAAGTCGGAACTCCGTTTGTCGTGGCCGATTTTTTGGCTCTTTGAACGGTTCCCACAGACGGCGTCAATGGTAGTGAAATGAATTTTACCCGGGCTCCTTCAACTCGGACGCCCTCGGTACCTGTAAGAACTCAACATCGGGAGGAGTCCCGGCTTCGAGTTTCCGATGCCTAAGTCAGCACTCGCTCCAAATCAAGACTATAATATGAGAGTATAGTCATGTATGTAGAGAGAATGAGTTATTGTGATACCTTATGTCCCTTTTATAGGAGAAGTGTACCTTAGTGCCCATGTTGGACTTGACCAATACCATTATGCCATGTGTCCTAGCCATGTGTAGGCTAATTCTCCAACATATTTCTTCTTATCAATTAAAGTCAATCTGGTATTAATGTCGATCTAGTAAATCACATATCAATATTAAATATTAAATAAAATAACTTGTATAGTATTAAAAAAAATCAATAAACACAAACACGAACTTGTCTAATAATTCGAACAATTCACAAACAAGTTCGATTATATAAACGAATGAACACGAACGTGTCAAAACCAATAAATGAATGAACATGAATGAACTTTTGTGTTCGATTAGTAAACGAACGAACACGAACATGCGAAAGTTGAACTCGAGCTCGAAAACTTTAAGCTCGATTCGGTTCAGTTCGATAACAGCCCTACACGTGGCTATTTAGTGTATTATCACATACAAATATTCAAGGTGAAAGAGAAAAAAATAAAAGCAGAAGAAACTCTCCGGCTCTTTGCTAGTGCATGGTCAAAGAGAAGCAACTCAGCAAGTAAAAGCAAACGAAGTCCAGCACCACCTCGGGCTCTTTGCTAGTGTACACCCCGATCTGAGTGATCCCTCCCTTCTATATCTTCAGTACCGCCATCGGTCGGGTGCGGTATATCGAGATTTACAGGGATGTCGTAACGGCATCATTAGAAAACGCCGTAACAACACTGAATTTTGGAAGGTGTTGGACAAACAACATCCCACAATTTGGGAGGTGATCGATAAGACGGGTTTTGGGCCACTGTTTCGAATGGGAAGAGTCCAGACCGACAACAGCCTCATTACCTGTCTTGTGGAAAGGTGGCGACCGGAGACGCATACCTTCCATTTTGATTTCGGGGAGGCCACGATCACGCTCCAGGACGTACACGTCCTATTTGGTCTCCCGGTAGATGGAACTCCTTGCTGGGGAGCGACTGTAGATTTTACAAACCAACAATGGCGAGATGAGTGTGTGCACCTTTTAGGGTTTGACCCCGAGGTAAATTTTTTCCTATAATTTTATTTTTTATTTTTTATTTTTTATTTTTATTTTGTTTATGTATACTCCATTGTTTCGTTTTTAATATAAATAAACCACTCTCAGGAAGCAGACGATCTGACGGCCAACCCCAAAACTTGCGGCATTACAGGTCAGTATTTGAAGCACTCGTGGTTAGAAAACGAATGCAACAGAGTGCTGCAAGATGGAGAACACATCATGACCTACGAACAGAGGGCGAGGGCCCTTATCCTTTGGTGCCTTGGATCCTTCTTCTTTCCCTACCAGAGGGCCAGTGGAGTCAACCTGTACTGGTTGCAGAATTTGCTCGACATCGATAAGATCAAGGGGTACAGCTGGGGGTCGGCGCTCCTGGACGCAGTGTATAGAGCGCTATGCACAAGCTACCAGACCGGGGAAGGCTGGATCAAGAGCTGTGTCCAATTGATTAAGACACATTTATTTACTTGTCATTTCAAAATTCATTTTTTTATTCTAATTTAGACTAATATTTAATAACAAATGAATATGTCGATATGTGTAGCTTTGGGCATGAGAACGTATCCCTCGGCTTCGCCCGAAAATGAGGGATTCGAACTTTGACATAGTACCTGGTTGTCTCTTAGGTGGAACGTAATCACATTTATTTATATATTTAATAGTTAGAATATTTCAATTATCAAATTTTGTGATTACAAAGTGTTTTTTTTTTCTGTGATTTTTAAGGTGGGTGGGACGGAAGGACACGAAACACATAGTCACTGGAACAGCCGCTGTCTGGGATCAACTGACAGGGCTGAGAGAGACGGATGTAAGATTATTATTAAGTACTATTGATTATTATTTATATTTGTTTTTTGTTTTTTATCTCTTAATAACTTAAATCTATTTATTTATTTATTTATTTATTTTTACAGTTCGATTGGGTTCCGTATGACCAGCACCTGAATGCTAATACTTTCCCGGCCTAGTGTACAAAAGATTCAAGCCTCGAGATGTATAGGGGGTGGATCTTCTGTTGGAACATCTGTGAAGTCCACCTGCCTGATAGGGTCCTCCGTCAGTTTGGGTGTTATCAGTCCATCCCCGACACTCCGATCATTACGGGTGAGGCCGACTGGGAGAAACACCACCGAGGCCCGGGAATGACTGGGAGGGCAGTTTTTGATTGAGTCGACTTTCATTCCGAGCTTGGGAATGTTTGAGTCTAACAAAGACACCAAAATGTCCTCCCAGATTACCCTGTGGAGTCATTCGTACAGCCTGACAAGGGTTACCTTGATTGGTTTCATAGTAGGACTGTGAGACTAATCAGTGACCCTGCCAAGTACCCGGTGGTCCAACAAGAAGGAGGCTATCAGCCACTTGCCGAGCATGGGAAGTGCGATGTAAGTGCTCATAATTTGTGTTTTTTTTCTATTACTATTATTATTATTATTATTATTATTATTATTCTTATTATTATTATTTTGTGTTTCATACTAATTACTTTGAATTTAATTTTCAGGCTAGCGCCATGGAGGGGGCTTATAACACGTTATCCAATGTTGAGCACCTATATCATACAGCCCATCCAGAGATGCAGGCGGCAATCCAACATGCCAAGAGCCTTCTCTTCACTTCTCTAACTGTCGGAGGCAGAGAGGTCGGATAAGGGATGTCGTTGAGCCAAGTTCAATCGCAGGAGAGCTACGTTCAACCTCAGAGGACGCAGTCACACCGGGCGAGGTATCAACCTGCTGCCCACATTGGTGGAGGTAGAAGACGACGTCACCGCGAACCTGTTGCCGACACCGGGCCTGAGGAAGAAGAAGAAGAAGGTAAAAACTTTTTACTTAACAAAAAAATAATTTTATTTATTTATTGTGATTTTTATCAAGTCGAATTTCTGATTTGTTAAAAAAATGAATTACTCAGGTGAAGAAGAAGAATAAGAAGAAGAAGAAGAAGAAGAAGAAGAAGAAGAAGAAGAAGAAGAACCTGCCACGCCCACAACATCGTCTTCTTCACGACCAGCACGGCGTCGGGTTAGCTCCCGACCGCGCAACCCTACGAATCGATACACTCCTAGTTAGTTTGTGTTGTATTCGAGGAATTTTGTGGACATATTTTTTTTTCTTGGTGGATTATTTGTAATTTTATTTATAAAACGTATTTCAAGAATCCGTTTAATAATTAAAACATAAATGTAAAATAATTTTCTTTATCATACGTATTTTAATAATACATCCTTTTTTTCTTTATCATACGTATTTTAATAATACATCCTTTTTTTACTTTAAAACGTATTTCGGTTATACATTTTCCTATATTTTAATTAACTTAATTACGTTAATTAATTTTTCTAATAGAAACCGTATTCGCCAAATAGGTTTTATTAATAAAAACGTATTACAGGAATACATGAAAAACATATTAACAGAATACGTGGTTTTTATTTTGGTCGACCCCTTTTTTTTGTTTTTTTCCACTCAATTTTTTTTATTTTTAAATAAATAAATAATTCAAACTTTCCGGCTCTAGTGCATACAAAATTATCAAGGTCAAACAGAAGCAACTCAGCAAGTAAAAGCAGGTCAACTTGTAATTTTCTTGTAGGATTCGGTATCCATTTTCAGTCCTTTTCTTAATATTTAGTACTTACAGCGGGATTTTCTTCAGTGGTATTATCACGT